ATAGATGAAGAGGGTCAGAGAGGTCAAATTGCCTACAAAGGACATACAGCCCGACAACGATTTGTCTCACTCTCCCTGACTTCAGGACCTGTGGTCCATTTCCTGTGCAGCCTGCTCTGACTCAGGGGGCCACTGTGGGGAAGGAGGGGAACCCGCACTGGAAGCTCTGTGACAGAGAGATGCTGGGCTGGGTGAGCAGGCCGAGCCGGCAGGATGATGAGAGTGCCTCTGAGTAAGGTGGGCAGGCCGGGAGGAGGCTGAGCACGCTATGCTGAAGACAGGCGAGCGGCTCATGATGAAGAGACAGGGGCACAGCCTAAGCTCGGCAGGGTGACCCCAGCCACAGAAGCTGAGGGGAAAGCGTGAGCTGATGGGGACTGGGGGGAGACTGGGTCCAGGGCCAGACTGGCCAGAGCCTCTGGGGACCCAACCAGATTTCCCACCCCTGCTTTTTCTCCTTATCCTCTTTCACCCCCACCCTCATACTTCCTCTGGCATCTTTCTGGAAACTTTGCCTTTTAGGGGGAGGGTGCCGTTTAGGGGAGATCCTGACGAAATGACAAGTCTCAAAGTCAGCCCCTTTCAGAGACATGGGTAGCCCTCCTTTTTGCAGGTTTTAGATGGTCAGCCCAGCAAGGGGAGGGAGTCTGGCCTCTTTCTTCTTTTAGGATGGGGCTGTGGAGACTAGGTCCCCACTTCCCGCCGCTGGCTGCCTCTTGGCCCCTGACAGCCCCAGTCCATTGTCCTAGCAATCATGGAGAGGACAGCTTCGTAAAGTAACACTATGAATTGTGGGGGTTGCTGGGGCCATGAACCAGGCTAAGGGGATGAGCTCCCCCACACTGGGCCCTAGCTCAGCACCTAGGACAGCGACTCTGCCAGGAGGCTAGGGGCGCTGGCCCCTCTCTGGAACCCCCGAATTAGACTCCAAGCCACCCCTGCGCAAGCCCTGGATCCCCAGACATGAGCTTAGTGGAGCAGATGCTCCAGCTGTGCCTAGAGCTTCACTCATTCTGTTGAAGGTTGAGAGGGGGTAAGGGGTGGGTCTTGGTCCCGGAGAGAAGTCTGAAGGCTGGGAAAGGGGCAGAGCGGGCTTGACCCCCGACTTTGCCCTGCTCTTGGCCTCTGCCCCTCCCCTGTCCCCGCCCCAATTGTCTCGGTGTCTGGGTCTGGCCCTGGAGGAGGGGACAGTGGGGATGGGGGTGGAGAGGGGGCTCAAGGAGGAAAGAGACCAGCTCCTGGGAAGACAGAGCAAAGGACAGCAGCCTCCAGCCTTGACCCCAGGCCTCGCCCGCCCAGAGCCCAGGCTCCGCAGAGCACACCAGAGCCCCCACCCTGTGCCCCCTCCCAGTGCGGGGAGGGGAATGCCCAGAGCCGGGCCCCAGGCTGAAGGGGACATGGGGCCCCTGCTGTTCCTGCTGCTGCTCCAGAACAGCGGTAAGGTGGTAAGGTGGGCGGGGGTGCTGGAGGAGTAGGGAGCTCAGGGCAGCTGCTCCAGACCAAGTAAGGTGGGCGGGGGTGCCAGGGGCTGGGGAGTAGGGAGCTCAGGGCAGCGCAAGGTTGGGGGAGAGCCAGATGAGAAACAGGGAGGCCTAGGGTGGGAGGGCTGGGAGGCAGGGTGCAGGAGAGAGGGGTAAGGACTTAGGGTGGCCTGAGCTGAAAGCACAGGCTGCAGGGGAGAGCCCTGTGGGGGGAGAGCCTCTGGGAAGCAAAGAGCCACAAGGGGAGGGTGAGGAGGGGCTGACAGGCAGAGGGCCCAGCAGAGGCAGGGGCCTAAAGGTCTCCCCACAGATGTCCCTGGGGGTGCTGAAGCTGGCTGAGCCCTGGGCCTGCCGCCTCTGGCCCTGAGAGGCCACCATCAGCTCCCCACAAGCAGCCCCATCAGCTGGGCTGGTCCAGTCAGGCCTTGCAGGCTGAGTTACCATAGTTATGGGGTTGAGCGTTTGGGGGCCTGTGCATTGTGGGTTCACAGCTCTCTTGATGCATTCAGTGCACAGCAGGGCACAGTGCTTCCTGAGGTGGTGTCTGGTGCCTTATGCTTGTGTATTTGTGACTTGGAGTCTGTAGGGACATCCATATGTAACCTGTGTTTGTGAGAAACATGTCATATGTCAGAACTTGTGTCTGGGATGGAAACCGTGTCTAGAACGTGGGGTGGCCTGTGAGGTTGGGATTTTTAATTCAAGTGTGTGTGTGTCTGAATGAGTGTATGAGCTTAAGTGAGTTCCTTCCCTATTCAGAGTCCTGCTGGTGGCAGGGGGAGGGGAAGCGCTAGGAGTCCTGGGAAGCTGACCCTGGGGCACATAGGCAGATGGCATGGCAGGGGAGGGAAGGGGTGACCCCACTGTGCCTCCGGGAGCACAGTGCCCATGCCTGGCCCCTGACCTCGGCATTGTGCCCGCCACACCCCCTCTCACTTGCCAGGGCCAGGGTGAAAGGGACCATCAATCACGGTGGCCTGCTGGGCCACCCTTGCCGCCAGCCAGCCTAGCCCTGCCCCTCAGACTGCCGGGCCCTGCCTCCCTCCCTTGCAGCCCCAAAGTGCCCCATAAGTCCTGCCTCCCTGCCCCTTGCCCAGCCTGGGAGCGGTGGTGGTGGGCCAGGAGGCCACCATGTCCCCGCCTCACTCACTGTCTCATGGGTCGCGCTGCAGGCTCTGAGCTGGCCTTTGTGCAGGGGCCGGGGACGCGGTGGCCATGTGGGAGTACCCGCTGGTGCTGCCCTGCCAGATGGAGGGTGGGCCACCTGTGTGCATTTCCTGGCAGTAGGATGGGCTGGCCCTGGCCCACAACAGCGGTGCGACCCCGATGGTGGATGGCTCCCTGCCCACCCACCGGAGCCCTCCCTCCTGTGCCCATGAGTACCACTGTGCGGTCCTGAACCGCTACGGGCAGCTGGTGTGAGCCGGTGGGCCCCGGGGCAGCTGGCGAGTAAGTACCCAGGCTGCTCCTGGGGGTGGGGACGGGAGTGCACGGGGCACCCACAGAGGGCGTCAGTGGGGCACAGCACTGCCCAAGGCGGGCCTGGGTACTAGCGCCCAGGGTACTTTCAGGGGCTTACAAAATTCCTAAATTTCAATTTCTTTAAAACCAGAAGAAAAAAGTGAATATAATCATGAACATATAATAATAAGTTCAGTCTGGATCATATTTGTTTTTATACCAACAGAATTTTAAAATAAAACTTTAAATGGTTTTTATGGAGGAGGGCAAGGTACTTATGGCCCACAAAAGTCATAGATGTGAGACTGTGGGGTTGCATGGTGACCAGGTGGAAGTGGCAGATGTGGGCACAGAGGAGGGCGTCAGGGCTATGGGACACAACTGCTGGGGGAGAGCCCTGGACCAGCTCTGAGGGTGCTCAGGTTGTTCCCTGGGTCTCCCCAGGTCTGTCCCACTTCCACCAACACCCCAAGTCTGTAGAGGTGGAACAGGGTGCAGTTGCCCGCCTCCAGTGCCTGATCCGGCGGGTGCCTGAGCCCTCCATTTCTTGGGAGCACAATGGCTTGGCCCTGCGAACTGCCGACCACCGGTGAGCACCAGCCAGTAGTGTGGTGGGCAGTGGGCTGAGAGCCAACTAGCAGGCTGTGGACCCCTGACTTCTACATCCTCAGGGTCACACTGCTGCGTGGTGGCATCCTGCGTATCACCAGCATGAGCCAGGCTGACATGGGCACCTACCACTGCATGACATGCAATGTGGTCAATACTTGCTACAGCCAGGATGCCCAGCTGATCCTGAGCAGTAAGCAAGGACCAGGGGACTCCCAGTGGGCCCTGGGCAGAGAAGAGAGTAGGACCCAGGAGTGGGTGTCGTTGATGCAACTGTATGCAGTGTGGACACTCTGAAGACAAACATTTGGAGCACCTACTACATGAGGCCCAGCACTGCTTGGCAGAGTACAGCCATAAGCAAATTGAACAGGCTGGGGCAGCAAGGGCTTCCTGGAGCTTACAACCCAGTAGAGACGGAGGTGCTGCAAGAAACCAGGGCAGGGGCCTCGAACTCAGCCGTGGGCCACGGGCAAGGGATGGTCAGGGGCTTCAGGAGTGAGCAATACTATACTGGGCGTTGAAGGGTAGGGAGAGGGGCAGGAAGGTGGAAAGGGGGACATTTCTGGCATTTCCTTGTGTAAAAGCACAAGGGTGAGAATTGTGCAGTTTATGGAGGCAGTTCCATGTTGCTGGCCCTTAGAATGGGCCTGCCCATTCAGGGTAACAAAGAAATGATGTAGAAAAGGTAGGCAAGGCCCATCACGAAAAGGAGTTTGGACTTGATCCAGCTTTAGAGTCGGGGCTCAGAGTCAGCCTGTGTCCCAGGTGCGAGCAAGTCTGTGTGTTTGCATGCATGTGCACGCGTGAACATGGCTGTGCATTTACATGCTTCGTCTGTGGGGTGAGAATGCACATAGGTTTGTAGGTGAGATGAAATATCGAGGACTTCCCCAAATACAGGCCAAGTGGGTGGGAGAGTTTTGCGCCCAAAGTGAGAGTCGCAGCACAGCCTGTGGGGCTGGTGCCTGGCAGTGTGCCCCCCCACCTCCCACAGCCTGAAGCCAAGCTACCACAGGTGTCCGTGGGGGGAGGCCTGCCTGATTCCTCCACTAGGGGGCCTCACAGCGCAGATAACTAGGGAACCTGGGACTGTACAAGATGCTCCCCACGGACTTGAAAAACATCTCTGACAAAATTTCACCAAAAGGTGTATAATTTTTGCATTGAAGACTGAAAAGCAAAGGGGAACTGTTGTGTCTCTGATCTGGAACTGATTTAGAAATGGAAAGCAAAGGGTAGGGTCAGGGGCTCCTTCCCCAGGGCAGGGGGAAGCCCCGGTGGGGGGGCCTCTGGCCTCCCACTTCCCCTTCCCATCAACCATCTGGGCTGGGAGGGCAGGATGCCACGCTTCCATGATGTGATCTGGCCAAATGTTGGGTAACCAGGGAGGGCACGATTGTCCATCCTGCTGCCCGTAGAGGCGGGGAAATGGACAGCCAGAGAGCTTCAGGCAGGACAAGGGGAGGAGCAGGAGCCTGTCAGGAGCAGAGGATGGACCAGTAACGGAGAGTTCACCATTTGCCTAGACAGCAGGAAAGGAGCTGGGGTCAGTGTAGGCTCTTCCCCAGGGACAGGAGCTGGGGACCAAGGCCCCAAACCATTCACTCCTAAGCACACGGCCCTCCGCCTTACCCTGGGATGGCCCGAGGGAGACCGAATTTCTCAGACTTTCAAGGAGCTCACAGCGGCAGGAAAGGCATGCAGTGAGTTGTCCAGTGCTTCCAAGACCAGGTATGAGTCCCTTTCCTGCCAGTCCCTCTGACATTGGACACATTACTCAACCTCTCTGACACTTGGTTTTTAACTTGGAGAAATAAAAGCACGTGCTTCCCAGGCTGTAGAGAGAATTAAGTGAAATAATGTGTGATGTGAGGACCTCAAGTACAATGCCTGGCATTTGGCGGGTGGGAGTGGATGTCAGCCAGTGAGGGCTGAAGGGTTGTTATACAGTCCAGGCTGTGGCCACGGAAGTCTCACCAGGCAGAACAGAACCTCCTTGGCCAAGGCCAGGACATCCCAGGACAGTCCGTAGCCTATAGCTTTTAAGAGGCAAATTGGATTGCCTGGTCCAAAGTCAGTCGGTCTTCAGTATATGGTAGAAAGAAAAAAAGAGGGACAGGGAGAGAGAGAGAAGGAAGGAATAGGAAGGGAGGGGTGGGGGGACTACTCTAGGCCTTGAGGAGTATTTAAAGGTGTGTAAGACTTTATAACAGTTCTTGAGAAACTTCCATTTTAGAGACATAAAATTTTATCTGAGACCCTTCTAATAAAGGACCTTTATGACAGGGTCATAGATATGTTACCAAGTCTCATAAAATACAAAGTGGTGAAACAAAAATGGGGGTGACAGGCCAGACAGAAAAACAAAGGCCCGTTTTTCCCCATGTTCACAGCTGTCGTCCTGTGAGAGAATAGTGCCAGGCACACGGCAGCCCCCCAGCAGTGATTTGTTGAATAACCTAATAAAATGGGAGAGGGTGGCATAAAATGAAGATGCGGTTTAGACCCCAATAGCAGTGTATTTCAAGACACGTTTACATCCCTCCTGAGCAGTTGGGACACTGAGTTCCTAGGGGGACCTGCTTTCTTTCTGAGGGTCTCCTGCAGCTTGTGGGTGGCTCGGGGAAGGGACCTAGGCCCGCGGGGCAGGGGAGGCTCTCAGGGAAGGGGCGCCAGTTCCAGCTCTGACGCTGCTGTGGGCCTCCCCTGGGAGTACGTGTCAGGGAGCACGGGTGCACCCTTTCCTCTCCTTCCCACCAGTTTAACCTGGGGCCTGCCTAGTGGGTTAAAGCTTTCCCCCTGATAGTTACTGCCCCATGACCCTGGACAAGTCCTTGTTTTTATTTGTAAATTGGGAGTCAAACAGCAGCTGCTCAGTGCCGCTGTGAGCTCTGGTCACTGGAGGACCAGAAGTCTCAGGGAGGATTCTGGCTCCCAATCCCTCAACTTGCTGTTCCCGCCTTGCAGTGGGATCCCCGCGGCTGCTGCAGGAATCTGAGATCCTGTCTGGGCCTCAGAACCTGACGGTCACAGTGCACCAAATGGCAGTGCTGTAGTGCATCGCCACTGGCCGCCCGCAGCCACCTGTCTCCTGGAGCCGTCTGGGTGTGCACCACCCGCCAGCGTCCCGGCCCCCTGGCCCTTGCCTCTTCCCAGCCCTGACCCGTCGCCTCCCTGCAGACGGCTGCTCCATCAGCGTGGAGGGCTTCCAGGTCCTGGGCACCAGGAACCTCATGATCTCTGACATGTCGGTCCAGCACTCGGGCGTCTATGTCTGAGCTGCCAACTGGCTAGGCACGCGTGTCCGGTGCACAGCGCAGGGCGTGCTGCTTATGCAGGGTGAGCCCCAAGGGCTGGGGCAGGGTAGGGTCCTGGGGCACCCCATCTCCCCTGTAGAAACCTGGATGGAGAGAGGGCAGGGGCAGGAGCAGACAGGAGGCGCCAATGGTGCCTTCTACCTGCTGTTGGCTGGCCAGCCCCACCCCCATTTGTCCAGCAGCCACAGTCTGTGTCCATGACTCCTGGCGGCAGCACCATCTCCACCTGTGCAGCCCAGGGAGTCCCTGAGCCCCGTCTGGTGTGGCTGAAGAATGGGAAGATGCTGAGTCCTGGGGATGACATTTGGCTGCCCCACAACAAAAGGTACCTGAGGGACGCATTCCCCTCCTCCCCCACCCACAATTCCACCCACCTATAAAAACACTCTCCACCTGTACTGACCAGCCCCCACACCCCCTGCGAGCACCCCATCACAGCAGCCCTCTGCCCCACCTGCTCCTCTCTAGGTTATGCCCACACCCGGGGGTGTGTCCTGTCCCAGGGCAGGTCTGTGGGTCTCTGAGATAGGCAGGGGCCTGCAGCAGGGCAGGGGGCTTGGAGGGAAGGAGCCCCCAGCAGCTATGTCTTTCGCTAGCACACTGATGCTGGCAGGGGTCTCTGTCGAGGACAAGGCCATCTACCAATGTGTGGCAGAGAACAGCGTGGGCTCCAACCAGGCCAGCGCCCGCCTGGCTGTGACAGGGGACCCAGAGCCACCCCCTGCCCCCAGGGGCCGGCAGGCAGTAGGTCTCTCCACTTCTGCCATTTGAGTGTCCTGGGAACCATGGCCCTCCAACAGGGACATCATTGGCTACGTGTGTGGGAGGTAGGTGTGGCAGGGTGGACAGGCATCCCTGGCTCCAGCCCCCCTCTGCTCCTGCCCGGCCCGGGGGAGCTTCCTCTCGTTCTCCATGACCCCAGGCCTGTCTGGACTCTTGCTGGGCTTCTGGGTCTGTGGTTCTCTGGTGCCCCCTTATGCTCCTCAGCCCCTTTCGCACCCTCGGCCTTTCCCATCCCAGCTCCAACTTCTGCAGCCCCTTCCTTGCTTCCTTGGAGGCTTGGCTGGCCCAGTCTGGCACCAGGAAGAGTTTTGTGAGGGTGGGGTGTTCGAGGTGAGGGAGAGGGAGGCTGAGTCGCCGAGCTGCTCTGCTCCTCAGTGCCAGCCGGCCTAGAGTTCCAGGAGGCTGTGGGCAAAGGCACCTCTGGGCATGTCTTCTCCAACCTGAAGCCTGCCACAGCTGCCTCCATCCACATGTGCGCCCACTCAGCAGAGGGTGCCAGCCAGGACTCTGCCTCCATCCATGCCTCCACCACAGGTGGTAGTGAGTGCCCACCTCCCCAGTCCTAGAGCCCCAGGCCTCAGGCAGGCAGGGCAGGGGCTGCTGACCAGCTCATCCCATTTCCTCTGCAGCCCCTACTGCCCTGGGCTTCTCCACCAAAGTGCTTAATGCTGCCTCCGTGCAGGCCTCCTGGGAGCTGCCACCCCAGCTGGGGTCCATCCAGGATTTCAAACTTTTCCACTGCAAGCTGCCAGCTACCCATTTTGAGGGGCCCCTGCTCCTGGCTAACAGTGTCAGCTCTTTCCTCTACACAATTCTGGATGAGGCCCTGGACCTTTTTGTGTTATCCCTGGGCCCCCCATCTCAGTGTGGTCTTGCCCTGGGCACTGAGCTTCCTGGCCCACAAAGGCCTGTTCCCTTCACAATCTCCTCCACACAGAGCCAGCTGCCTTCTATGAGATCAAGCTCCAGGCATTTAATGGCCACAGGGATGGTAACAGCAGTGCCCACCTCGTCTCTTTGTGTGATGTGCCGCTGGCCACCCCTGGTGAGTGGGGTCAGGGCAGGCCCCTCCCACAGGACCCATGGCTGTCAGTCTTCAGGGAGGTGAGGGCTGCACCTTGTCCCCATCCCGGTCCTCTGACAGAGGGCACTGTGTCCACAGAGTGCAAGCTTGGGTGCTCTTGCAGCCAGGATGCGAGCAGCTCGTTGCCTGGGGCTGTGGTGGCCATCCATGTGGGCCTGGCTGCCCTCATCATTTGCCTCCTGTGCCACCTCCTGGGCTGGAGACATAGGTAAGGGCCTGGCTGGCTTATGTGGAAAAATAGGAAGATAGTCTGCATTCCTGTGGCACAGGACCAAAGAGCAGGAAAGAGCCCTTGTCCATTACTAATCTGTTTAACAAATGAAGAGACTGAGGCAGAGAGGGAGCACCAGTTCTCAGCTGCGTGGCACCAGGAGTGGGAGACGGCGTTAAGGGCGGCATGAAGGGCAGAGAGCATTGGGGCTCCCGTGGCAGAGGACAGGTGGCGGAAGTGGGCCAGAGGCAGACTGAGCCTTCTGCGCCCAAGGAAGAGGCCCACCTCTACCCTGGGGGAGCGGGGCAAGGATGAAGGGCTGGGGCTCATGGGGCCGCCTCTCCCAGAGGGGAGCCCTAGACAGCTCATGGTGGTGATACTTGCCGGGCTGGCAGCCTCCTCTGCAGACGGGGGCCCAGAGAGTGCTGGGCAGTGCCTCACACTGCCTCGGACAGAGCTGGGTACCTCGAGGACAGGCTGAGTGGAGGGAAATGAGGGGAGACAACTTAGCACCCAGGTGAGGGATTCAAGTGAGGGGAGTGGGTGGTGTGCTTGGGGTCCTGCTGCCAAGGCCTGATCACCTCCTGCTCCCTTAGGTGACCATGGAGCAGCTGCCCTAGCCTAGAGCCCCCCAGGCTGGCTCCCTCCCAGACCCCATGTACTCTGGGCCCACCAAAGGATCTACCTCACCCATCGCTGTCGCCCTGGAGTCAGGAAAGAACCAAAGGTCCCTCAGCCCCTCTCGGGGAGAGGCAAGCCTGACCGCAGGGAGACAGAAGCGGGTGAGGATTCTCTGCTCCTCCCTCCTCAAGAATGGGGGAGTCTGTGTCTTCCTCAACACATCAGATATCCTCAAACTAAACCAAGCTTGGCTGGGAGTTAGCCTCAACCTTGTTACTCCAGCCTTATAGCCCATCCAATATATTCTTTTGACCCAAATATGAACCTACCCAAAGATATATAGCTTTAAGGGTGCCCCCCAAAGGGAAGGGGCAAGGCAGGGCTCTCACCATCTCCAGCTCCACCAGGATCCCTAGCCTGAGAGCTCAGTTGGTCTCCTCAAGCCCAAGCTGAGGCCTGGCCAGAGCACAGGCCCCGGGCATTCCCCGTGGTCCGCATGAGGAAATGGGTGTAGAGTTCCTTTCCCCTTGTCCCAACACCGTGAGTCCTGCCATCGGAGCTCACACGGGCTGCTTCTCTGGGCAATCAAATACCCATCTCCCCCTCTCCAGATTCTAAGCACTGGCCTCTTCTCAGGGGCCATCCCCTGAGAAGGGGCCAAAACCCCATTTGAGTTTTATTTTTGAAGATGGTATTAGTCTAAGCTGGGGTTTGGTGGCCTTGAAGCCCCTGTAGAATGCACACAGAGGCTGTGGAGCACCCTAGCCATCTAGTCCTTCAATTCTAGGTGCCCAAAGATTGCCTCCTTCCCACTCCTGCCCTCTGCCAGCCTACGGCAGCCAATGCCCACATTCCTCCTCATCCAGCCCTACTTCACCCTAAAGCCAAAGCCCCAGCGCNCCTGTGCATTGTGGGTTCACAGCTCTCTTGATGCATTCAGTGCACAGCAGGGCACAGTGCTTCCTGAGGTGGTGTCTGGTGCCTTATGCTTGTGTATTTGTGACTTGGAGTCTGTAGGGACATCCATATGTAACCTGTGTTTGTGAGAAACATGTCATATGTCAGAACTTGTGTCTGGGATGGAAACCGTGTCTAGAACGTGGGGTGGCCTGTGAGGTTGGGATTTTTAATTCAAGTGTGTGTGTGTCTGAATGAGTGTATGAGCTTAAGTGAGTTCCTTCCCTATTCAGAGTCCTGCTGGTGGCAGGGGGAGGGGAAGCGCTAGGAGTCCTGGGAAGCTGACCCTGGGGCACATAGGCAGATGGCATGGCAGGGGAGGGAAGGGGTGACCCCACTGTGCCTCCGGGAGCACAGTGCCCATGCCTGGCCCCTGACCTCGGCATTGTGCCCGCCACACCCCCTCTCACTTGCCAGGGCCAGGGTGAAAGGGACCATCAATCACGGTGGCCTGCTGGGCCACCCTTGCCGCCAGCCAGCCTAGCCCTGCCCCTCAGACTGCCGGGCCCTGCCTCCCTCCCTTGCAGCCCCAAAGTGCCCCATAAGTCCTGCCTCCCTGCCCCTTGCCCAGCCTGGGAGCGGTGGTGGTGGGCCAGGAGGCCACCATGTCCCCGCCTCACTCACTGTCTCATGGGTCGCGCTGCAGGCTCTGAGCTGGCCTTTGTGCAGGGGCCGGGGACGCGGTGGCCATGTGGGAGTACCCGCTGGTGCTGCCCTGCCAGATGGAGGGTGGGCCACCTGTGTGCATTTCCTGGCAGTAGGATGGGCTGGCCCTGGCCCACAACAGCGGTGCGACCCCGATGGTGGATGGCTCCCTGCCCACCCACCGGAGCCCTCCCTCCTGTGCCCATGAGTACCACTGTGCGGTCCTGAACCGCTACGGGCAGCTGGTGTGAGCCGGTGGGCCCCGGGGCAGCTGGCGAGTAAGTACCCAGGCTGCTCCTGGGGGTGGGGACGGGAGTGCACGGGGCACCCACAGAGGGCGTCAGTGGGGCACAGCACTGCCCAAGGCGGGCCTGGGTACTAGCGCCCAGGGTACTTTCAGGGGCTTACAAAATTCCTAAATTTCAATTTCTTTAAAACCAGAAGAAAAAAGTGAATATAATCATGAACATATAATAAGTTCAGTCTGGATCATATTTGTTTTTATACCAACAGAATTTTAAAATAAAACTTTAAATGGTTTTTATGGAGGAGGGCAAGGTACTTATGGCCCACAAAAGTCATAGATGTGAGACTGTGGGGTTGCATGGTGACCAGGTGGAAGTGGCAGATGTGGGCACAGAGGAGGGCGTCAGGGCTATGGGACACAACTGCTGGGGGAGAGCCCTGGACCAGCTCTGAGGGTGCTCAGGTTGTTCCCTGGGTCTCCCCAGGTCTGTCCCACTTCCACCAACACCCCAAGTCTGTAGAGGTGGAACAGGGTGCAGTTGCCCGCCTCCAGTGCCTGATCCGGCGGGTGCCTGAGCCCTCCATTTCTTGGGAGCACAATGGCTTGGCCCTGCGAACTGCCGACCACCGGTGAGCACCAGCCAGTAGTGTGGTGGGCAGTGGGCTGAGAGCCAACTAGCAGGCTGTGGACCCCTGACTTCTACATCCTCAGGGTCACACTGCTGCGTGGTGGCATCCTGCGTATCACCAGCATGAGCCAGGCTGACATGGGCACCTACCACTGCATGACATGCAATGTGGTCAATACTTGCTACAGCCAGGATGCCCAGCTGATCCTGAGCAGTAAGCAAGGACCAGGGGACTCCCAGTGGGCCCTGGGCAGAGAAGAGAGTAGGACCCAGGAGTGGGTGTCGTTGATGCAACTGTATGCAGTGTGGACACTCTGAAGACAAACATTTGGAGCACCTACTACATGAGGCCCAGCACTGCTTGGCAGAGTACAGCCATAAGCAAATTGAACAGGCTGGGGCAGCAAGGGCTTCCTGGAGCTTACAACCCAGTAGAGACGGAGGTGCTGCAAGAAACCAGGGCAGGGGCCTCGAACTCAGCCGTGGGCCACGGGCAAGGGATGGTCAGGGGCTTCAGGAGTGAGCAATACTATACTGGGCGTTGAAGGGTAGGGAGAGGGGCAGGAAGGTGGAAAGGGGGACATTTCTGGCATTTCCTTGTGTAAAAGCACAAGGGTGAGAATTGTGCAGTTTATGGAGGCAGTTCCATGTTGCTGGCCCTTAGAATGGGCCTGCCCATTCAGGGTAACAAAGAAATGATGTAGAAAAGGTAGGCAAGGCCCATCACGAAAAGGAGTTTGGACTTGATCCAGCTTTAGAGTCGGGGCTCAGAGTCAGCCTGTGTCCCAGGTGCGAGCAAGTCTGTGTGTTTGCATGCATGTGCACGCGTGAACATGGCTGTGCATTTACATGCTTCGTCTGTGGGGTGAGAATGCACATAGGTTTGTAGGTGAGATGAAATATCGAGGACTTCCCCAAATACAGGCCAAGTGGGTGGGAGAGTTTTGCGCCCAAAGTGAGAGTCGCAGCACAGCCTGTGGGGCTGGTGCCTGGCAGTGTGCCCCCCCACCTCCCACAGCCTGAAGCCAAGCTACCACAGGTGTCCGTGGGGGGAGGCCTGCCTGATTCCTCCACTAGGGGGCCTCACAGCGCAGATAACTAGGGAACCTGGGACTGTACAAGATGCTCCCCACGGACTTGAAAAACATCTCTGACAAAATTTCACCAAAAGGTGTATAATTTTTGCATTGAAGACTGAAAAGCAAAGGGGAACTGTTGTGTCTCTGATCTGGAACTGATTTAGAAATGGAAAGCAAAGGGTAGGGTCAGGGGCTCCTTCCCCAGGGCAGGGGGAAGCCCCGGTGGGGGGGCCTCTGGCCTCCCACTTCCCCTTCCCATCAACCATCTGGGCTGGGAGGGCAGGATGCCACGCTTCCATGATGTGATCTGGCCAAATGTTGGGTAACCAGGGAGGGCACGATTGTCCATCCTGCTGCCCGTAGAGGCGGGGAAATGGACAGCCAGAGAGCTTCAGGCAGGACAAGGGGAGGAGCAGGAGCCTGTCAGGAGCAGAGGATGGACCAGTAACGGAGAGTTCACCATTTGCCTAGACAGCAGGAAAGGAGCTGGGGTCAGTGTAGGCTCTTCCCCAGGGACAGGAGCTGGGGACCAAGGCCCCAAACCATTCACTCCTAAGCACACGGCCCTCCGCCTTACCCTGGGATGGCCCGAGGGAGACCGAATTTCTCAGACTTTCAAGGAGCTCACAGCGGCAGGAAAGGCATGCAGTGAGTTGTCCAGTGCTTCCAAGACCAGGTATGAGTCCCTTTCCTGCCAGTCCCTCTGACATTGGACACATTACTCAACCTCTCTGACACTTGGTTTTTAACTTGGAGAAATAAAAGCACGTGCTTCCCAGGCTGTAGAGAGAATTAAGTGAAATAATGTGTGATGTGAGGACCTCAAGTACAATGCCTGGCATTTGGCGGGTGGGAGTGGATGTCAGCCAGTGAGGGCTGAAGGGTTGTTATACAGTCCAGGCTGTGGCCACGGAAGTCTCACCAGGCAGAACAGAACCTCCTTGGCCAAGGCCAGGACATCCCAGGACAGTCCGTAGCCTATAGCTTTTAAGAGGCAAATTGGATTGCCTGGTCCAAAGTCAGTCGGTCTTCAGTATATGGTAGAAAGAAAAAAAGAGGGACAGGGAGAGAGAGAGAAGGAAGGAATAGGAAGGGAGGGGTGGGGGGACTACTCTAGGCCTTGAGGAGTATTTAAAGGTGTGTAAGACTTTATAACAGTTCTTGAGAAACTTCCATTTTAGAGACATAAAATTTTATCTGAGACCCTTCTAATAAAGGACCTTTATGACAGGGTCATAGATATGTTACCAAGTCTCATAAAATACAAAGTGGTGAAACAAAAATGGGGGTGACAGGCCAGACAGAAAAACAAAGGCCCGTTTTTCCCCATGTTCACAGCTGTCGTCCTGTGAGAGAATAGTGCCAGGCACACGGCAGCCCCCCAGCAGTGATTTGTTGAATAACCTAATAAAATGGGAGAGGGTGGCATAAAATGAAGATGCGGTTTAGACCCCAATAGCAGTGTATTTCAAGACACGTTTACATCCCTCCTGAGCAGTTGGGACACTGAGTTCCTAGGGGGACCTGCTTTCTTTCTGAGGGTCTCCTGCAGCTTGTGGGTGGCTCGGGGAAGGGACCTAGGCCCGCGGGGCAGGGGAGGCTCTCAGGGAAGGGGCGCCAGTTCCAGCTCTGACGCTGCTGTGGGCCTCCCCTGGGAGTACGTGTCAGGGAGCACGGGTGCACCCTTTCCTCTCCTTCCCACCAGTTTAACCTGGGGCCTGCCTAGTGGGTTAAAGCTTTCCCCCTGATAGTTACTGCCCCATGACCCTGGACAAGTCCTTGTTTTTATTTGTAAATTGGGAGTCAAACAGCAGCTGCTCAGTGCCGCTGTGAGCTCTGGTCACTGGAGGACCAGAAGTCTCAGGGAGGATTCTGGCTCCCAATCCCTCAACTTGCTGTTCCCGCCTTGCAGTGGGATCCCCGCGGCTGCTGCAGGAATCTGAGATCCTGTCTGGGCCTCAGAACCTGACGGTCACAGTGCACCAAATGGCAGTGCTGTAGTGCATCGCCACTGGCCGCCCGCAGCCACCTGTCTCCTGGAGCCGTCTGGGTGTGCACCACCCGCCAGCGTCCCGGCCCCCTGGCCCTTGCCTCTTCCCAGCCCTGACCCGTCGCCTCCCTGCAGACGGCTGCTCCATCAGCGTGGAGGGCTTCCAGGTCCTGGGCACCAGGAACCTCATGATCTCTGACATGTCGGTCCAGCACTCGGGCGTCTATGTCTGAGCTGCCAACTGGCTAGGCACGCGTGTCCGGTGCACAGCGCAGGGCGTGCTGCTTATGCAGGGTGAGCCCCAAGGGCTGGGGCAGGGTAGGGTCCTGGGGCACCCCATCTCCCCTGTAGAAACCTGGATGGAGAGAGGGCAGGGGCAGGAGCAGACAGGAGGCGCCAATGGTGCCTTCTACCTGCTGTTGGCTGGCCAGCCCCACCCCCATTTGTCCAGCAGCCACAGTCTGTGTCCATGACTCCTGGCGGCAGCACCATCTCCACCTGTGCAGCCCAGGGAGTCCCTGAGCCCCGTCTGGTGTGGCTGAAGAATGGGAAGATGCTGAGTCCTGGGGATGACATTTGGCTGCCCCACAACAAAAGGTACCTGAGGGACGCATTCCCCTCCTCCCCCACCCACAATTCCACCCACCTATAAAAACACTCTCCACCTGTACTGACCAGCCCCCACACCCCCTGCGAGCACCCCATCACAGCAGCCCTCTGCCCCACCTGCTCCTCTCTAGGTTATGCCCACACCCGGGGGTGTGTCCTGTCCCAGGGCAGGTCTGTGGGTCTCTGAGATAGGCAGGGGCCTGCAGCAGGGCAGGGGGCTTGGAGGGAAGGAGCCCCCAGCAGCTATGTCTTTCGCTAGCACACTGATGCTGGCAGGGGTCTCTGTCGAGGACAAGGCCATCTACCAATGTGTGGCAGAGAACAGCGTGGGCTCCAACCAGGCCAGCGCCCGCCTGGCTGTGACAGGGGACCCAGAGCCACCCCCTGCCCCCAGGGGCCGGCAGGCAGTAGGTCTCTCCACTTCTGCCATTTGAGTGTCCTGGGAACCATGGCCCTCCAACAGGGACATCATTGGCTACGTGTGTGGGAGGTAGGTGTGGCAGGGTGGACAGGCATCCCTGGCTCCAGCCCCCCTCTGCTCCTGCCCGGCCCGGGGGAGCTTCCTCTCGTTCTCCATGACCCCAGGCCTGTCTGGACTCTTGCTGGGCTTCTGGGTCTGTGGTTCTCTGGTGCCCCCTTATGCTCCTCAGCCCCTTTCGCACCCTCGGCCTTTCCCATCCCAGCTCCAACTTCTGCAGCCCCTTCCTTGCTTCCTTGGAGGCTTGGCTGGCCCAGTCTGGCACCAGGAAGAGTTTTGTGAGGGTGGGGTGTTCGAGGTGAGGGAGAGGGAGGCTGAGTCGCCGAGCTGCTCTGCTCCTCAGTGCCAGCCGGCCTAGAGTTCCAGGAGGCTGTGGGCAAAGGCACCTCTGGGCATGTCTTCTCCAACCTGAAGCCTGCCACAGCTGCCTCCATCCACATGTGCGCCCACTCAGCAGAGGGTGCCAGCCAGGACTCTGCCTCCATCCATGCCTCCACCACAGGTGGTAGTGAGTGCCCACCTCCCCAGTCCTAGAGCCCCAGGCCTCAGGCAGGCAGGGCAGGGGCTGCTGACCAGCTCATCCCATTTCCTCTGCAGCCCCTACTGCCCTGGGCTTCTCCACCAAAGTGCTTAATGCTGCCTCCGTGCAGGCCTCCTGGGAGCTGCCACCCCAGCTGGGGTCCATCCAGGATTTCAAACTTTTCCACTGCAAGCTGCCAGCTACCCATTTTGAGGGGCCCCTGCTCCTGGCTAACAGTGTCAGCTCTTTCCTCTACACAATTCTGGATGAGGCCCTGGACCTTTTTGTGTTATCCCTGGGCCCCCCATCTCAGTGTGGTCTTGCCCTGGGCACTGAGCTTCCTGGCCCACAAAGGCCTGTTCCCTTCACAATCTCCTCCACACAGAGCCAGCTGCCTTCTATGAGATCAAGCTCCAGGCATTTAATGGCCACAGGGATGGTAACAGCAGTGCCCACCTCGTCTCTTTGTGTGATGTGCCGCTGGCCACCCCTGGTGAGTGGGGTCAGGGCAGGCCCCTCCCACAGGACCCATGGCTGTCAGTCTTCAGGGAGGTGAGGGCTGCACCTTGTCCCCATCCCGGTCCTCTGACAGAGGGCACTGTGTCCACAGAGTGCAAGCTTGGGTGCTCTTGCAGCCAGGATGCGAGCAGCTCGTTTCCTGGGGCTGTGGTGGCCATCCATGTGGGCCTGGCTGCCCTCATCATTTGCCTCCTGTGCCACCTCCTGGGCTGGAGACATAGGTAAGGGCCTGGCTGGCTTATGTGGAAAAATAGGAAGATAGTCTGCATTCCTGTGGCACAGGACCAAAGAGCAGGAAAGAGCCCTTGTCCATTACTAATCTGTTTAACAAATGAAGAGACTGAGGCAGAGAGGGAGCACCAGTTCTCAGCTGCGTGGCACCAGGAGTGGGAGACGGCGTTAAGGGCGGCATGAAGGGCAGAGAGCATTGGGGCTCCCGTGGCAGAGGACAGGTGGCGGAAGTGGGCCAGAGGCAGACTGAGCCTTCTGCGCCCAAGGAAGAGGCCCACCTCTACCCTGGGGGAGCGGGGCAAGGATGAAGGGCTGGGGCTCATGGGGCCGCCTCTCCCAGAGGGGAGCCCTAGACAGCTCATGGTGGTGATACTTGCCGGGCTGGCAGCCTCCTCTGCAGACGGGGGCCCAGAGAGTGCTGGGCAGTGCCTCACACTGCCTCGGACAGAGCTGGGTACCTCGAGGACAGGCTGAGTGGAGGGAAATGAGGGGAGACAACTTAGCACCCAGGTGAGGGATTCAAGTGAGGGGAGTGGGTGGTGTGCTTGGGGTCCTGCTGCCAAGGCCTGATCACCTCCTGCTCCCTTAGGTGACCATGGAGCAGCTGCCCTAGCCTAGAGCCCCCCAGGCTGGCTCCCTCCCAGACCCCATGTACTCTGGGCCCACCAAAGGATCTACCTCACCCATCGCTGTCGCCCTGGAGTCAGGAAAGAACCAAAGGTCCCTCAGCCCCTCTCGGGGAGAGGCAAGCCTGACCGCAGGGAGACAGAAGCGGGTGAGGATTCTCTGCTCCTCCCTCCTCAAGAATGGGGGAGTCTGTGTCTTCCTCAACACATCAGATATCCTCAAACTAAACCAAGCTTGGCTGGGAGTTAGCCTCAACCTTGTTACTCCAGCCTTATAGCCCATCCAATATATTCTTTTGACCCAAATATGAACCTACCCAAAGATATATAGCTTTAAGGGTGCCCCCCAAAGGGAAGGGGCAAGGCAGGGCTCTCACCATCTCCAGCTCCACCAGGATCCCTAGCCTGAGAGCTCAGTTGGTCTCCTCAAGCCCAAGCTGAGGCCTGGCCAGAGCACAGGCCCCGGGCATTCCCCGTGGTCCGCATGAGGAAATGGGTGTAGAGTTCCTTTCCCCTTGTCCCAACACCGTGAGTCCTGCCATCGGAGCTCACACGGGCTGCTTCTCTGGGCAATCAAATACCCATCTCCCCCTCTCCAGATTCTAAGCACTGGCCTCTTCTCAGGGGCCATCCCCTGAGAAGGGGCCAAAACCCCATTTGAGTTTTATTTTTGAAGATGGTATTAGTCTAAGCTGGGGTTTGGTGGCCTTGAAGCCCCTGTAGAATGCACACAGAGGCTGTGGAGCACCCTAGCCATCTAGTCCTTCAATTCTAGGTGCCCAAAGATTGCCTCCTTCCCACTCCTGCCCTCTGCCAGCCTACGGCAGCCAATGCCCACATTCCTCCTCATCCAGCCCTACTTCACCCTAAAGCCAAAGCCCCAGCGCTCCCTCAATCAGTGTTTCCCTCCAGGGCTGTCCAGTATTGTGCCAGAAAGGGGGGAGGGTCCTGGAGGAAGGAAAACCCAGGGCTTAGGGGACCCCAAACACTGTCTCGTCTTTGCTCCTACAGAGTGAGGTTAGTAGCAATGACAAGACCCCTGCAAGGCTGGACCCTGCCTCTCCACCCCTGCTCCTTCTGCATAGGGGTAGAAGCATCTTTAGGAAATGGGGCAGGGGACCAATGGGTTAAGAATAGCCCCAAACTTCAAGTCCTTGAGGGAATGACATCCTCTTCTTTGAGAGAGTCTGGTCTCAGTGCTTTGTTGGAAATAAAAAATCAAAAGGAAAACAATGCATTAGGAGCTGGTTAATATTCTGGGTTAAAAGGAAAACTTGGGAGAGTGGGGTGTTGAGGAAGAGAGCACATCCGGTCTTCCTGGGGACGCTGCATTCAGGTAAGGAACCGTATCTGCAATTGTTTTGCTAAGAAAAGATCGCTGTGGGCTGTTGTAAGGTTCCCACCTGGAGAAAGTAACATGTTATAAAGGACTTGGTTCCTGGAGAACACAGCAATGTGATGGGCAGGGCCAACGTCAGATGGAGACTCCACCCTCTTCCTGACACCATCAGGTCATTAAATAGTGTCAGCAGCTTACAGAACACTGGGTCCACCTGAAGGTGAGGGGAACAGTGAGACACAATACAGGCAAGGGCTTTAAGTAATCATGACAACTGAAGAAAAGGGTACAAGCCAAAGGTGCCCCACGACCGATGGGAGTACAAGCCATAGCTCATCTCCAATTGCCCCACCAAACTGCCACTCCAACCCCCACCAGGACTAAAGGCACAAGCCACAGGAAAGTTTAGAAACCATTCCTTTCTTTATTAAACATAGCTTGCAAGTGATAAATATTACAAAGTTTTTTTTCTTTTAATCCTTTCTCCAAAAATTAGCTTATTTGAATCTGTCACTGCTGAAATGCTCAACAGCATCTGAAACAGATGGGAGTGTATTTGCCTTTTTGAAAACCAGTTTCTATTGGTCTTAGTTTTTTCATTTTAATTCCCAAACACAATGCAGAAAATTAGAATGAGTTAAAAAAAAAAAAAAGGAAACTTAAAAGAGAGTTGTGCAAAAGGGTCTTGTTCCCCTCCCACCCACCCCATTTAGAGGCCATTCCCCATCCCACCTCCCTGCTCCCCACCCCCCACCCCCAATCTCTCCTTCCACCCTCACCAGGGCTTCACCCATCATCCTGCATCCTCTCCAGGCTTTACCAGCCGAGAACCTAGAGTGTGGAGTGCTCAACCCAGGCTGTGGGGAAATTGGGCCCCTGAAGAAGACAGAGTGTGAGACATCTACCTTTAGGGGGTTCAGATGAGACCTGAGGGAAGGAGATAAGATGTGGACTATGTCTGAGCTCTCCTATTTTGTCTCCAAGATGGGGGAAGTTCCACATCCTAGAGCTCACAAAGGGACCTCAGATGACTAGAGGCATGAGGGGGAAGAAGTCACAGGTCTGACTGATGTCCTAGATACCACTCTACTGCCTTTCCAAACCAAAAGTAACAGCAGAGGCCGGGCAGCTCTCCAAGGGGCATTGCCACACACATAACCACTTTGTTTTTACCTGGTTTTTCAGCCCAACACTTACCTTCCTTACCTTGTCAAGTTCTGTTTTGTAGGTGAGGAAGGAAGCATAGAATTTTAAACTTGGTGGCCAGATGAATCTCCCTTGTTACTTCACAAGAAAACAGACCCAGAAAATTAATTCTGCCAAAGGTCACATGCAAATTGAGGGAAAGCATGGACTAGACCCCAGGTCTGGGAACTGTGCCACCATCCCACCCCCTCGCCTCAGCCTGGACTAGGATCCCTAGCTTTCACAGTAGCCTAGCCTCATCCCGATTTACAAAGCCTAAGCTGTGTGCAGATGAAGGTGGCTCTCCCTAGGTGAGATTTTTTTTTAGAGTGAGTTGTTAAAATCCTTTCTATCATCCCCTGGCAATCCACCCTCAAGGCCCATGAAACTAGGTTTTTTTGGGGGGTATGGGGTGGGGGAAATCCCTTGCATAAGAAAGCTTGACACTGGATTTTGTTATATAGGTATATTGTATATATGCTGATGCAATCAGAGGAAAAAAAACAGTGCAAATACAATTACAATTCATAATAATACTTGGTTTCAATGCCCCCAGGAACTGCCCCATTCCTCGGCTACCTCCCAACCCCCAGCACTTCCCCACAGTATCAACCTAATGCTGGGGGGTAGGGAGGGTGGGCAGATTAGGGTAGGGAGTGGGCTCTGCCAAGGCAGTGCTGGTGACCCGGAGGGACTACTCCAGGGTGGGGAGGCAAGGCACAAATTAGGGGTGGGTGGTGGGGGAGGTGGCATCTCTAAGGAGGGATGGGGTTGGTTGGAGCAGCTGCCAGTCTCAGTGTGCTGGGCCCGGCCCACTCCTCTCCCCACCCTCCACAGCCCTGCCTCCCTGCCCCCTCCCCTTCCCCAGAAACCCTTTTGCACGGATCATACACAAACGGGCACATTACAAAATGACATAACACAGTTTCACAATATCCATGGCTAGGGCTTTTTTTTTCTTTTTCATTTTTTTTTTCTACACAATGTACAATTCCTTTTAAATGGATCAAGAAATAGCTTATATACACGAATGAGTCCTTGTTATAACATCTCGGCAGCAAATATCATAAGCTAATGAAGGTCTTGTTGGAGGGGAAGGGAGCCTAGGACTGGGACAGGGGGTGGAGTGTGGGGAGAAGGGTATACCTTCTGGCAGAGTGGGGAGAAAGGGCGTGGTTGGGGAAAAGGAACAAAAGTAAAATACCAAGAAGCATCTTTACAAAGCAGTTCTAGAGCTAAGTCCTTTTAAGGGGAAGGAAAGGTAACCAAAGCAGGAAAACATTTATCTCTGTGTCTTAAAAAAAATTGTCTACCATACATACGTCCAAAAATGTGGAAAAATACTTATTCCAGGGATGGAGGAAGTCCAGATGCTGTGGTCAAGTGACAGAAAAAAAAAAAGACAAATAAAGACCTCAGTCCCTCAGCTTTACCCAAGCCTTGCTGCTCACCCACCCATTTCAAGCTTCCAGGAAGTCAGTCACTGTCCATCAGCTACTACTCTTAGAGCCTCTGGGGACGGAGGGAGGAAGCCAAGCAGAACTAGTGGGATCCTCACTCTAGTATTATTACCCTGAGCTTCAGAGCTCCAGGGGTAGAGGGTGACTCTGAACAGAGCATGAGGCTTAGCGTCTACAGGGCCCAAGACCTGGGGATGGACAACAATAGACTTGGAGGGACACACAAGGCAATCAGTGATGAAAAAACGGAGAAATGAGGAAGACGGAAGGATGAGGGAGAGAGAAGAAAGG